TCCAGCTGGCACAAGGGGTAGTGTCCCCAGGTAGCAAGTGGCTGCGTCCCAGAAGCTCCAGAGAGTGAATAGCCCTGAGCTGCTTGCCAGGACAGGTTTTTATACAGCTGGGGCTAGGACAGGGCAGCTTTTTATACTGCTGGGGACAGCACAGGTGCTGGCCCCAGGCTCTAGCTCCCCCTGGCTGCAGATCCGGGAGAAGCCAGGCAGGGTTATTTTGCCCTAAGTGGCACAATTTGCTCCACAACAAAGTGCATGTCCAAGCACGTGTGCTGAGGCAAAAAGCCCCAGCTCAAATTTGCCCCGCTTCTATTTGAGCTGCTGCAAGCGCACATGCTTGCATTGTGTGCCCAATGTAACCATGTGCATGTGCTTACCTGTTTGCCCCTTGTTATTTCTCAGTAAAGAGCAGTTCCCTTGCCAGTGATGATTAATCGTTGATCTCAATTAATTTAAACAACTACTTGCAAATCACTAGCAGGGACTTCAACTTCTGCTGGTTCTGTGTAGAAGTGTCTGCTTTATAGCTGCATGCTTGAAACTGAAAGCTGCCAGTTTCCTGACTGCCAGTTAGTTTCAGTAAGGCTTGTAAATGGAGTACATTTGCATTACAAAATAGACAGTCAGGGCAAAAATGCCGTGTATTTAAATGGTTATAATATTCTTAACAAATGTACAGTTAACCAGCGTTTGTTATAATGTAAGCAGTAGGCAAAAATTGAGATTTCTTTTGTGCTGTCATTAATTATTCACATCTCCAGTACGTATATAAGCATAGTTGTCTCCTCTCTGCGCTCCTGCCAAGTTTTCTTGTTACTACTGTGAATGCAAAGAAAAGCAGCATTACGTAATGCTAACATTACCTTGGCTGGAAAGGACCAGTCTTCCATAAAATTATTATTAGGCACATCTGTAGTGATTTCTAACTATTATGTGCTTAGGATAGATTTTTTTTTCTTTATTACAACATATTTACAGCCATTATTGATAAACTGGAACAGGAACAAGCAGAACAGCTTTAGATTCTAATCATATAATGTCAGTTAATACTGAACATTTCTTTACAATTAGCTCTAGATGCTGCTAGTACTACTGTGCATTCCTTGGCAAAATCAGTTTTAATATGATGATCATTTTGGTCTTTGGTATCTGGAATACCCAAAGAAGCCCAATGTACCATGGTGAATCTGCTGTTTGTGTCAGTAATGAGTCTACACTGGAAACCATATACTGTAGTGTAACTCTGCCACTACAGGAAGATGTGACCCCCGCAATCAAGTTAACTGTCCTTTACTATAAAACCCTTTACAAAACTGCCATCTCCTAATATAAGTAATAAACCAAACATATTGGAAAAGAATAATAAAGGGTGTATTGCAGAAGCTCTGAAAGGGAACAGGATTTAAACTTCAGTGTATGGTGGGGCTTATGGTAGGTGTCATAATTATAAGGTATAGATTTGTGTCACATTTTGTGTGTAGCAACCCTAATTAGTTCAGAACAGAAGTATAGTAATTAAAAAGTCACAAAAAAAATCCTTTGTGATTCGGGTGATAAGCCAGGCAGCTAGACTAATTAATCTGTAATATTGTATGCTCAAAATAATTTTCAGTGAAAATTTCTGAAGAATCCTTTGGTTGAAATTTAGCTGCACCAAGTATACTTCAGATAATCAATCAAATCCTTTTATCTTTAAGAACTACTTAAGGATTGTTCTTTAAGCTTTACTTAACAAAGTAAAGTAATATTTTAAAGGAAATATACTTAGTTATTTAATTCATTTTTGTGTGTTTCAGTTTCCCAAATAATAGAATAAATGTTTGGGATGACAGTATTTTTATTTTACTGCTAATTTTATAGAGACCATTTTACATTTAAATTGAACTTTAATGTTTGGATAAGTGTTCTGAAATTGTGCATGTTGTAATTTTCCAGCTAACAAGGTCAGATTTTCTTTCTACACATTCCATTTACACATTTTAGTTGCAAAATTCAAATAGATTATGACTTTCTGCACACTTCTTGCCAAATGTTTCAAGTCCAAAGACCATCAATAACAAAAAAAATCTTTTGAAATCAATCAAAATTCTTTCAATTTGTGGTACAGAAGCTTGCTTTTTCGTTTCTCACTAGAGAAGAGATGTATAACAACAAAATAAAATGTTTCTTTAAGTGTTGCTTTCCCATGCTTGACAGTGACATTGGGGTGCTTTACTTTTGTACTGAACTGAATACAGCTGTGTGTCAGGTGTCTTGGTCAGATAAGCGTCTCCCCTCTGGGCATCCTTGATCTTGAGATGATAGAGGTTATTACGCTCCAAGGAGGAGCAGAAGCTTAGGCACATTTCATATGCCTAGCATTTCTTTGTTGGTTTGCTCTACATACCTCCCTGCTTAGCACCTTAGCACTCTGGATTGCTCTTTGGAGATGCCTTCCTATTTCCATTGATTGTATAGGGACTTAAGCATCTAACCCTGTCTCTTCAGACCATTTTGGAGGGGCAATATGTCCACCATTCAGATGTTGCAATGCCTAGGTGGAGGCTTCTATAAAAACTATATGGCTCTGGCTGTTACTTCAAAGAGATTTCTATTGAATACATATTGGTATTTCAAATCACTTTTTAAGCTGTACTTCAAAGGTAATCTAACGTGCTTTCATAAGTAATTTCAGAAAAATATTTAAAATAATAAAATATCAATATTTTTAGGCTCAAATTGCTTTGGAAGTGCTTTAGCATTATTTGCGAAGTGAAAAAATGTAGAGCCAGGAACTTGAATTTTAGAAGGTAAATAATAGAGGAAATCATTTAATTTTTGTATTTTAAAATGTAATTATTTGTTCTTTTTAAAGAAAAAATTATTTGGCACATGGTACAAAGCAAATTATTACAGGAAATCTATTGTGTATCCAAGTTTCAAGAAGACATCCCAAAAACAAGTTACAAGTTTTAACTATTTATTGTCCTTTTAATTAGTTAAGTGTGTGTTAATTGTTCCTCTGATATACCAATATAAGTTCATAAAACTTTGAAAACTATTTTAACAGGTCTTATTTTGTACAGAAGATTTTTTTATAGTACTTGGTGCCTGAGATCACTACGATACTGCTGTACTAGTCTGTATGCTCATACAAGATGGCCTAATTTATTCCTTGATACTCTACCATCTAAGAACTCACTTTCATTATACATTTTATATAAAAACTATTTTGCATGGCAGTTTGCTATACTTTGATCTGACTAAATTCAGACAGCATACAGTGATATTCATATACCATTTTTTTGATATATCAGTCTTAGTTCTTGTTTTCATAAATGGCTGTGCTGTCCTTCATTTGTGTTAGTGAAAAGAGAAAAAAGTAAGACAATTTTTGAGAAATGGAAGGGAAAATGAAACCAGGAAATATGTTACTGTATTTAGAACTAAGTTTTTGTGGTTTTGCTCAGGGAGAAGGGAAAGAAGCTAAAACATTTTACTGGTGAGTTGCAAGAAACAAGTACAGGAACAGATTATTACAATGAAACAAAGAGAGACACTGGAAGAGAAAGATGGCAAGTAAAACACAGAAAGAAGGTATTAAGAGAGTAGAAGAAAATAATTTAGTTTTCAACCATGTGGCTTTGTTTCAGCTGTTCCCATTAATAATATTCTAGCAAGTGACACCTATATTAAATCTGGTAAAAATCAGAATTTTATAAAAGAATCTAGTCACAGTGTACATACTCTAATAAAATAGTCTAATATATTGATTTTTTCTGTACATCTCATGGAAGCACTGAGCACTATTTTTTTTATCTCAGAAGCTTCTTTTCACTAGTATAGCACATTCTCATTTTCCTTGCACAGCGCCTATTTTGAATTCCAAATCTAACTCTACAAATATAAACCCGACTTTTGAAATATCTGCTTTTATGAACACTCTTCTTTTGAAAGATCTAACCGGATGACTCCTCAAAATGCTAGACGCTTGAGGGATAAGGGAGGAACAGTGTTGCATGGCCCATTCACATGTACTTTTGTCATTAGCAAGGTACAGCATAACCTCATGTTGACCTCAATGGCAAATGGTGTTAACAGGGAAGTATTTTACATGGCTGTGAACACAGTCCAGGCTGAACATAAATCACTAACTTCAGTGGTTTAAAACTAAAATAATGCCTCTTCCTCCCTCTTTCTCTCTTTTTTTTTTCATTTTTCAATACAGTGTACTATAGAAAGAGATTTGGGTTGGAGAGAAACACAGGTTCTTGTACAGTAGATGTTCTATCTGGCCTGTAGGGAGCCCTGCAGGCTGGATGACATGGCTCCAAGTACCATATCAGGCTGGCATGTGAAGTTGCTTTGCAGCTGAATCTGGCATGTAGGGCCAGGCCAGCACATAAGGTCTCACCCAGGGACTGACCCTGTGCTGACCCCACACTGTATCTGCTTTGGGAACCAGCCTTGCCCTTGGGACCTGGTCTGTAGACCTGTTCTGCACCACTCATCTGGCCTGTGGGGCTGGAAGGTTAAGCAACTTTGGTATAGTATCAAGTTTAGCTAAATTGTAAGGAATCTTGTAAAAATTCATAATTCTATTAAACATAAATATTTTATCATGCTGTGTGGAGAATTAATATTTCAGCTTGCAGAAAGCCTGTTCATCTTTAAGGAATGTCTTGTAGCTGCTGATTTAGTAAATTATATACTGTTTTAAGTCTACAGAAACGTCCTCTGTTTGCTTTTAAATGCCAAAGTTTATTAGTTTGCATGTGCATATGTTAAAACTGCCACATAAATCTGTAATATTTTATTTCCTACATAGAAAGTAGTAAATATTCTCAAGCATTGTCTGGTAATTCTAAATGTGGTGGAATGTGATTTTGATAATCAGTTGCAAATTATTTGGCTACAAATACAGTCAAGCCATTTCTAACTGTTAATCTTGACCATTACTGATTTTAATTTTAGGATATTATTATCTAGTATCGCTATTAATCTGTTTTTTATCTTTTTAGAATGAGAGAGCATATTCCTTTTGTGGGACAATAGAATACATGGCTCCAGATATTGTCAGAGGTGGAGATATCGGACATGACAAGGTGTGTTTCTGCCCAGCTTTCTATTAAAATTTTGATCCAAGTGAATCCTCTCTTAGAGCCTTATATACAATTAATGATATGATCAGCAACATTTCCTTTACCCAATTTCACTATTGAACCTTTCCCATCTCTACCATCATTCCAAATTAAATCAAGCTGAATAGTCTAGGTTTCCCGATATTCATAGGCTATTGGTTGTTTTTAGGCACTTAAAAGTTGATCATCTTAGTTGTCCTTGGCTCATGATTTAAGTAAACCTATCTTAGTGCAGAGGGTGTTAGCAGGGGTGCTTAACCTGTGGCACCTTGTCATCCAGCCTGCACAACTCTCCATATGCAGGCTGTGGCCCTTCATGCTAAATCTGCTGCACAGGGTGGTGTGGGGCCCAACTCCAGCCTGTGAGGCTGGGCAGAGGTATCATGGAGCCTTGGAGTCCCGATCCAGGCATGTGCAGCTGGGCAGCAAGGTCCTAGGGCCCTGATTCAGGTACACTGGGCTGGGCAGAGGCAGTGCGACTTTCCGAGGCCCTAATCCCAGTGGGTAGAAGTGGTGCAGGTTTCTAGGGCCCAGATTCCAGCACGTGCAGTGAAGGGTGGGGGGGAGGGTTTAGAGCACACTCTCAGCGCATGTAGTAGGACAGAGCTAGTGCAGGGTCCTGGGGCTCTGGTTCCAGCTTGTGGGGCCAGGCAGGGACAGCATGGTCTGGATCCAGGCATGGGGTATGATGCCCAATTTAGCCTATAGACAGGCCCACTCTGGTAATCACTCTGGTAATACATTACTAGACATATTTTAATACAGTTTAATGAGGATCATTTAAAAATAGTTGTGTCCTATTCCTTGTTACTGTCTCACTAGGGGAAATTAGTGAAAGACTGAGGAATATAAAGTCCATTAAGAAGATATTAGTAAAATTTACAGGACTAAAATTTTATTCGAACTATATACACTTTCACTAGAACTTCTTAATACATGAAAAATTAATTTTGCTTTTTTTTTCCAAAATGAGACTTTGAAACTGCAATCTGAACATATCTATAAGGTCACAGTCCTTACTCTCAACATTTTTCCTTAAAGTTTTTAGACAATATAAGTCTCAGCAATCTTTGAAGTTCCAACACGAGGACCTGGGTAATTATAGACCAGTTAGCCTGACTTTGATACCTGAGAAGTTACTGGAGCCATGTTATAAAGAAGTCTATTTGTAACCATCTGGTAGAGGAAAGGCTCATCATGAGCAGGGATCCAGATTTTCTGTTTCCCACACAGAAATGGAAAAAAACACAGATTTCCCCCTTTACTGGTGCAAAAAGTGGATTTCCCATTTTAGCAGAGAAACTCACAGATTTTGCACTTTTGCTAAGAGCTCTCTTCAGGCTGGCAGAGTTCCAACCTGCAAGGGGCTGCGGGGAGTGGGAAGAACATAGTCAAGCTTCCAGGCAGCCTGGAGAGCAGCTCCCACAGGTAAGTGGTGGCGGTGGGGAATTGAGGCTACCATAGGGAGGGAGGGATTTGGGCAGGGCTGGGTCTGGGGCTGCTGCCCAGCCTGGCAGTGCTTGCGGCCAGGAGCCTCAATGTGTGGCTACAGGACCCCGGTGGGAGCAGGATGGGGCTGTGGACAACTTGTCTGGGGGGCAGAGGGGTGGAGCTGGCTTCTTGCCACTGTGCGCACTTCCAGGGGCAAGAGGGACGCATGCCCCCCAGATCTGTGTGTGGGGCAGAGGTTCGGGGTAGGCTGCCCGCTGCAGGCTCAGGCTCCCGCCCTATAGCCCAATGGATGTAAACCGGCGTGGCCGGGAACACCCGAGCTGCACAGGAAAGCTACATGCTGCTTTGAGCTTCGCACTGCCCTGGTGAAGGGCAGCAGGGTGGGAGCCTGAGCCCGCAGCGGGCAGCCCACACCTGCCCCCACCCTGCGCACAGATCTAGGGGGCATGATTCCCTCTCCCCCTGAGCCCCCCCTACCCCCCGAGCGTGTGTGCAGCAGCGGGGAGTCAGCCCCAACTTCTCTGGGCTCTGCTCCACTACAGCAGCTGCCACCCCGGCCAGGGGCAGGGGGCTGTGGACCGGAGTCCCTGCCTCCATAGCCCTAGTAGCTGGGGTCTCCCTCTGGCAGGGTGGAGGGGGCTGTGGGTGGGGGGTGAGGGCTGGGGGTGCTGTGGGAGAGAATGAGGGGCATAAGCAGGGCCAGGGGGCTATGGGGGGGTGATGGGCATGAGCAGGGCCAGGGAGGATGTGGGGGGTTAGTGGCCTTTCATTTTAATCACTGATTTTGGGGGGTTTATCAGGGAATTTGCAATTTTTTTTATTTTTTATTATTATTAGGGAAAGCTGGATCCCTGAACGTGAGGAGCCAGAATGGATTTGCCAAGCATAAATATTGCCAAACAAATTTTATCTCCTTTCTTGATAAAGTATCTAGTTGAATGGAGAAAGTGAATGCATTAGATATAGTGTACTAGGACTTCAGTAAGGTTTTTGACAAAGTCCTACATGAGCTTCTCATAAACAAATTGGAGAAATGTGGTCAAAAGTTTATTATGGGATGGATAGACAAGTGGTTTAATAGCCATAAGCAAAGATTAATTATAAATGGGTGGACATTCAAATGGCAGAAGATTAAAAGTGGAGCCCCATCTCAGTGTGTTCTGGATTTGATTGTGTTTAGTCTCATTGTTAATGGTTTGGATGCCAGAATAGAAAGCTTCCTGAGCAATATTGCAGACAACATGTGAGTAGGAAGGACTGCAAACACATTAGAGGAAAAGAGTAGAATGCAGAAGGATCTTGATCAACTGGAAGCTGGGATAGGAAGTCACGATGAAGTACAATGCTGACAATAACAAAGTGCTGCACTTAAGGAAGAATTCTCAAAACACAAATACAAAATGGGTAACAACTTGCTGGATGGCAGCACTATTGAGGAACTATGAGTCTTGGTGGATCACAGAGTCATCAATATGATGTAACAGCAAAAAAAGGTGAAACTGGTTTGGGGCTGCATGAGTAAGAGTGTTAGGTGTAAGATGGGAGGAGTGCCACACTAGGCACAGGCTAGGCATTCTCTAGTGAGTATTGTGTGTAGTTCTGGCCCACATTTTAAAAAGGACACGGAGAAGTTGGAGATCGAAAGGTGTGTGATCAAAGCTGCGAAGGAGTTGGAAGCCAAGCCATACAAGGAGAGGTCGAGAAAAATAAGCATGTGTAACTTGCAAGAAAGGTGAATAAGAGGGGACATGATAGCAGTTTCATGTCTGAAGGACTGCCTTAAAGAAGAGGGAGAACACATTTTCTCCTTTGCTACAGAAAGTAGGGTATGTAGCAATGGCTTGAAATTACAGCAAAGTAGGTTTAAATTGGATATCAGGGAAAATGTCACTGTTAAAGTAGTGAAGCAGTGGAATCGACTCCTTAAAGTTGTGGAATCTCCTTCACTGGAAGTTTCCATGAAGGGGATGGATAAACATTGGTTAAGGATGATTTAGGAGTAGCAATTCCTACAGTGTGCTGTGGAGAGCAATATTTGGGAACACAAGAGACTACTCTCTCTTACACATATCACTTGGATATCATGAGAAGAGCTCTGTAGTCCAGAGCAGGTAGAAATTAGAGAGGACTGTGCTCAGCAGCAGGAGAATGAAGCAAAGCTCCCTAAGCGGCTTGAAAAATTTAAAGAGCCTGGGATAAATTTACAGAGGGGATAGGAGAATTGAAAAGAGAGGTTTGTTTCTACAGTAACGATGTATGTGTGGAGTTGTGTTTGAGGTTCCTGGGTTGCAGTAAAAAGTGGAGGATGTCTGTTTTTTCCATGCTTCTGGGTTTTGCTTGTTGCCACATGAGGGGAAGAAAATAATTCTTAACCCCTTGTTGCTATCGGTGTAAGCGTTTACTTCCACCTTCCTCAGAAGTATTGGTTTAACTACAGCTAAGGCTTTTGATTGGAATGTGCCAATACACGTGCTAGAACTTAAAAACCCCAGAGGACATGTCCAGACGAGCCTTCACATGCCTCTTGCTACATCTCAAAGCAGCTGGGGATGTGGCAAGAGGCATACTGGGAACAAAAAGCATTCCTGTGCTGAATATTTACAGTGTGGGCTCCATTTGATACCTGGTTATCCCGGTAT